GCAGCATTGCATGACAGAGGGGCATCACAGAAACAGTTCATGGCAAGCAGAAGACAGCAAAAACAAGCAACCAACTACAAGTATTATGGTTTGGGTCTAGATGTACCCACAGGGCCTCCTGTGGTCATAGGTGGGTGAATCTAGAGTGTGTGATACTGGGATTAAGGGAGTACTAACCACTACAAATGAGTGATTGGTTTGGCACCACCCTAATTTCGGTAGTCTGGATAGGAGAGAAGGGGGCAGAAAGATGCTGTTAAGCCTCTCTTGTTGCTTTTGCTGCCTTATGGGCACCATGAGCTGTTTCTCCTCTGAAATGCTTCTGCTGCTTCCCTTGTTGCTTTTGCTACCTTCTGGCTGCCATGAACTGGTCCTCCTCTGCAGTGCCCCTCTACCAAGCCACCCTCCCTTGGAGCCAGCCGACTATGGACTGAAACCTGTACGAACTGTAAGCCGAGTAAACTCCTTCCCCTCTAACTTTAGGTGTTGAGTGTTTTGTTTCAGCAATGAGAGAAAAGAAACCAACACAAGTAACTGGCAGCAAGCCTCTTTCTGTCCCTTATATTGTATCCAGGCTACCCGCATTTAGGGCAGGTAGCACTCACACCCTTAGTCCTAGTACCCTTAATCTTAGCATTGCACTATGAATCAGTCACACATTCTAGATCCAGCCACCTCTGAAAAAGCCCCACCTGTGACAGCATGAGGCTTTAGGAGGACATCTAAACACAAACCATAGCATTCCGCTCCTGGCCCCCCAGTGACTCATGCACATCCCTTTATGCAGAAGGCATTTAGTCCGTCTCCAAGAGTTGTCAAACAGTTTCAGCATTGCTGAAAAGTCCAAGTCCAAAGTCTCTGAGATTTAAGACAAATTCTTAGCTGTGAGCCCCTGTACAAATGAAACTTCTTCCCAAGTGGCACAAGATAGACATTTCCATTCCAAAAGATATAAAAAGGGGGATCAAAAGGAATAGGAAAGAAGCAAGTCTAAAATCCAGCATGGCAAACATTAATTCCTGTAGTTCCATGTCTAGCATCCCAGGAAATCTGTGGCAAGATGTAAACTCCAAAGGGTTTGGGTGGCTCCTCTCTGTGACACTGCTGATGGTTATAGCTCCCATGGCTTCTCTCTTGGGCCGGCTCTGCTCCCCCCTTGCAGCTTTCCTTATGCCATCCACATTCCTCGCTTCTCCAACCTTTGGGGTCTCCACTGTAGTTTCATCTTAACACGCACAGCTTCACTCACTAACCTCTCAGCGACACACTGCCTGGCCTCCCAGACCTTCTGAAATCTGGGTGGAAGCTTTCCTGACCCCACCACTCTTGCATTCTGCATGCACCTAAAACTAGCACCTCATGGATAACACCAAGGTCTGCCACCAGGTGGCGCAGTAGCCAGGCTTCTCTCTTGGCTGTAGGGGTTGAGCACCTATGTCTCTGAGCACTCTGACCCCAATCCCAAGGAGCAAATTCTCTAGGCCACTGCCATTGTGGAACATGATGCTCTGCAGCTCTCTTCTCAAAGCAAAGTCTTTCACCTTTGCAGCTGTGAGGCTGCAAAGGCTGGAGTCCTGGTTTTTGTGATGTCCTCAGACCATCTTTTCTGTTGTCTTCTAAAATACTTGGCTTTTTCTTGCTAGTCTTTTCAGTGACCATTTTCTCCTCTGTTCCATCTTTGCTGGCTGCAACTTCACTGAAGCTTCCTTTCTGGCCAAACTCAACATTTTAAATCATTTTGCTGGGCTCTTCGCTCTTTACTCTCAACATAAATCTGGCTAAAAGCCCCCAACAGCAGCTATGCCATGGCCTCAACATTTGACTGCCTTCACATTTCTTCTGCCAGATTAGTCTGCTGTCCTTAATCTTCGTCTCAGGCAGTCTCTGGGCATCAGCAAAATGCAAACTTTCTGCCATGGCATAACACACATCCTCTGAGTCCAACAGCCAATGCACTCCTTCTTCCTAGCAGAAAACCCCTGAGCCTGGTCTGTACCAGCTTTCTGGTCTTCTGAGCTCTGACCAGAATCTCCCATCAAGTACAGCTTAAGGCATTCCAGGGCTACTTTTTCAGCTAGCATCTCCGAACCTTTCCAAACTCTCCCCACAGGCCAGTTCCAAAGGTTCCTGAACCACATGGTCAGGTATAATCACAGAACAATCACACTTCTCTGGTACTAAATTCTTTTTTTTTCCAGAGGCTTAAGAACACAGGTTAAAATTTTATTTCTTCCTCTAGCACAGAAGGATCTTCCTGAACAGTAGAGAGGTTAAACTTTATTTAACATTTTTAAATATTTCATTTGCTTCACTACATGGCACACAAATGAAGGTCCTGTTAAAAGACTTGAAATCCAAAGTCAAGGCAGGAAAGATCCCAGCTCTATTCTTGATCTGGTACCGAATTCTGCCTTACTTTCCTTATTGCTGAGACAAAATATTTGACACCCAAAGTTAAAGGAGGAAAGGTTTATTTGGCTCACACTTTGTAGAGGTTTAAGGCGGCATGGCAGAAGGGTACAGTAGAGGAGAAATAGTCCAGGGCAAGCAGGCAGGAGAGCACACATTAGCTCTCTTTCTGTCCCTTATATTTTATGCAGGCTACCTGTCCTAGGGCGAATGTAGCACTCACACCCTTAATCCTAGCCAGAACTAGGCCAAACCAATCAGTGGACTGATTTTAGTAATCACACACCTTTGATCCCAGCACCACACACTCTAGATCCAGCCACCTCTGAAAAGTGACTGCATGAGGCTTTTGGGGGACATCTAGACACAAGCCATAATAGCTAGTAATGCTGTCCCATAGGATTATAAACTTTTAACAATATTATGTGATTTTTTAGTGATATTTCTTATGACTTGCTTGTGTTGTATTCAATTGTAGATTGCATTGGTGACAACAGAACTCTATATAGCAGAGGGCACAGTGCAGTGTTTACCCCCACACACACCCTGTGCCCTCTATACAAAGTTGAATCGAAACTTGAGTGTATTAGACATTACAGGTGTTTGTGTGATTTGGTGAGTAAAACAGTGATTACCAGTAATAGTTTTTTGGCCTATGCACGTGTGCTTGTGAACATTGACATCTGTTATTGTCAAGCAGACATATAAGGTTCCTTCTTTATTAAACTTGGCTTTGTAAAATAATCATATACATTAACTATATTATACCCTTTATATGTGAACTGGGATAATTCTTCTTCACTCATTGCAGCCTAAGCAAGCCAAAAGGTTGGACACTCATGATCTAAATCATCTAAAGTAGGTATATGAGTAAGGCTCTGGGTACAGTCCATCCTGATACAGTATATCTCTTTATTTATGGACCAGTAAAACTCAAACAAAACAAAAGCTGTCTCCTATTAAAATACAGTGAGATAGGGCTGGGGATCTACCTCAGTGGTGTCGCCACCTCCCTCACAAGTGCAAGGTCCCAAGTTCAATCCCTGATACCAAAAAAAGTGAGATACACATGGAATAACAGGTAGTATAGATATTACTGTTCAAAAAGAGAGAGATGGAGCTGTTGTTCATTTTGAGCAATTTTGAAATCAAGCTAGACAGACTCCTTTGGGTTTCTGGATCCAGAAACTGTCCTCTGTGGCTCAGTACTCTGCCCTTGGAATCATCCCTTTTCATGAAATATATTTACAACTGAGTTGTATTATTACCCTGTTTCCTATCTCTGGAATTTCGGGTGTCAGAGAACCTTTTTAAATTTTGTACTCTGCTCCTTTCAGTCCAGTTTACTTTCTGCCTGTATGAAATTTTCAAGAACCTTGTGAATCTGCTTTGTGTGTCACAGGGATTTGCTGGAATAGTCAATTACTAGATGACATTTTCCACCAAAATTGGCAAAATTTTTAAAAATTGCACAATGAAGAATTTAAATTGATATAGCCTTTTGGAGAATAATTTGGAATGTACATACATTTAAAATGCTTATTCCTAGCTGTTCCATTTATGAGAAGTTATCCTAATGAAGTTATCAAAGATACTGTCAATGCATTATTCTAAAAAAAAAAAAAAACGTAGATATGCATGTGGTGCACACCTGTGATCCCAGCAGTCTGGGAGGCTGAGGCAGAAGGACTGCAAGTTCTACCCCAACCTGGACAAAATAGTGAAAAAAGGACCTGGGATAAAGCTCAGTACCACAAAAAGAGGAGGGAGAAGGAAAACTATAATATATGTAAATGATAGCTTATACTGAAACCATTAAAAGGTATTATTAGGGCCGGGGATTTAGCTCAGTGGTTCCGCTCCCTGCCTCGAAAGCACAAGGTCCCAAGTTCGATCCCTGGTACCAAAAAAAAAAAGTCTTATTAAACAAAAATAAAAGTCTTGTTGAAAAGTATTTCACCTCAGGAAATATTCGTAATAATTAAGTATATTATATAGGCACATATATATGGTTTACAGTCCATTGATACACATATTTACTTATTTCTGCACTTCTAAAATGCCATTGTGACCTATCTGTGTCATAACTGTTGAGGAAAAAATTTCAGAAACAGGATGGAGAGGATGTACATCAGAGGTTTTATCTAAGATTACATGATTTATATGTGACTTCTTTATGCCTTTCTGAATTACTGAAAATGACTGTATGAGCATATATTAAGAATGATAATTTTTATTCTATAGAATCTTTCTATATTAAATTAATGGCAATTGATTATAATTCATACAATTTTGAGGCCAGCTGTGGTGGTGCATGCCTATAGTTACAACTACTTGGGAGACTGAGACAGGAGGATTGTTGAGCCTGCAAGTTCAAGACCAGCCTTGGCAACATAGAAAGACTCCATCTCAAAACAAAAGAAAAAGCAATTTTGAGTAGAGCCTATTAAAAGTTTCGAGAGTGTACTATTTTTCCTGACTCTGTCCTTTGACTCTTACAAAAAGAATTAAATGTATTAATATGTGATGTTTGAATCCTGTAGCTAATTCCAACATTCCTAGTGAGTACTTTTTTCTTTTTTTAACCCAAGAAGCTGAAAAGAGTGAAGATTCCTCAGGTGCTGCAACCCTGTCAGGCTTACATCGCACATACAGTCAGGACTGCAGTTTTAAGAACAGCATGTACCATGTTGGAGATTATGTCTATGTAGAACCTGCAGAGGCCAACCTACAACCACATATAGTCTGTATTGAGAGACTATGGGAAGATTCAGCTGGTAAGTTTGTTTTAAATCTAAAGGCCCATTGGTAAGATGTGGCTGTTTTTCTCTTACTTGCTTCCCAGGGAAGAAAAGTTCAACTGAGGTATTTTATGCCAACAGTAGTTGATCTATTGTATCAATAAATAAGATTGCTCAGTGTATCAACATATATAATTAAGCACCCACAGTATGAAAGACAGAATATTGCAGTGTTGGACTGTGTCATAATTGAATCAGAATTACAACTTGTTAAAATCTACTTTGGATTCATTTATTCATCTGATACATATTAAAAAGACACTTTGAGCCAAACTCTATGGAGAATGGCAGGGATTTAAAACACAAAGTTCATATTTTCCTCATCAAAACCACTCCAATAGTGATCACAAATAAAAAAGAAATTATTGCCGGGGATTTAGCTCAGTGGTTCTGCTGCCTGGCTCGCAAGTGCAAGGTCCCGAGTTTGATCCCTAGTACCCAGAAAAAAAAAAAAGAAATTATTATGGAGCGACAAGTGTCCTCACTTAGAATTTGTTGTCTAAAAGACTTCCTTGAAAAAACATTGCCTTTAATTTGAGACATGGAGAATGAATATAAGTTCATAAAGCCACAAGCAGGCAGCTGGAAATTGGTCTAGACAGTCCAGTTTTTTTAGCTGCCCATCATGTGAAACACTTTTTTGGATTTTTCACCTAAGTGCTAAGTATGTCCCTCAGTATGTCTATGTCCTTACTAAATCATAGAGCTCTACATGTGAATTGACCAGAGCAGGTCTCAATACCTTCCTCTCATATGTCTTTTACTATAAGAGGAAAAATAGCAGTTTTTGGACCTCCTTAGATTATTTCTTCTAAGATAATTATGCTATCCAAAAAAAAAAGATAATTATGCTAAGAAATAATCTGAGAACCACTATGCTAGTTCATACAATGGATAATGAAGCATTTCCTAAGTTTGGAAAGAGCAGGTAGTTTCTCTTAATGATGATTTCTCTTTCTCTGTTTTTGAGGTGAAAAATGGTTGTATGGCTGTTGGTTTTATCGGCCAAATGAAACATTCCACCTGGCTACACGAAAATTTCTTGAAAAAGAAGTTTTTAAGAGTGACTACTATAATAAAATTCCTGTTAGTAAAATTCTAGGCAAATGTGTGGTCATGTTTGTCAAGGTAAGAAACTCACGAATGCCAAAATACCAGTCGTTCTCTGGGAGTAAGGGTTAACAACACAAAAACTGATGGTATTCATAAAATCAGGAAGTCTGTTTTAAACTGATTTTTAAGCTGTATCTGTATAAGTAAGTATAGATTTTGGAAGAAATTAACCTGAATATGGTTTCGAAAGACCATTTGCTGCTTACTTTTTTTTTTTGGTACCGGGGATCGAACTTGGGACCTTGCTCTTGCAAGGCAGGCGCCGGAACCACTGAGCTAAATCCCTGGCCCTGCTGCTTACTATTTTTGCTGCTTACTATATGCAATTAGGTTAACTTTTTACATTGCCAGACCTGTTGTGTGTGTGTTATGTGATGTGTGTTTGTGTTACTGGTATTGAACACAGGGACTTTGCACTGAGCTACATCCCCAGCCCTTTGTTTTTTATTTTGAGATAGGGTCTCACTAAATTGCCCAGGAGGGCTTGAACTTGCAATCCTCTTGCCTCATCTTCCCAGAATTCTTCCCAGAATGCTGGAATTACAGGCCTACACCGTCATGCGTTTTAGCCAGGCTAATTTTTTTTTTTTTTTTTTTTTTTTTTGGTACTGGGGATCGAACTTGGGACCTTGTGCTTGCGAGGCAGGGACCGGAACCACTGAGCTAAATCCCTGGCCCTGCCAGGCTAATTTTTAAGAATGATGTTTTCTGGGCCAGGGATTTAGCTCAGTGATTCCAGTCCCTGCCTCGCAAGCACAAAGTCCCGAGTTCAGTCCTCGGTACCACACACACAAAAAAAGAATGATGCTTCCTGAAAGATAATCATCTTAACACATACATGATGGGGCTGTAATTTGTATGTCTCGCTTCGAGGCGGTTCTGACTTAATTAATATATCTCTCTGCTGGGCAGCTCTGACTTAATCCATTTGTACCACCAGTGATACAAGCTGCCCAATGGAACAGTCATGCCTGCACCAGCGGTGGTTCAAGCTGATGGGAATGTGTTAAATTATTGGTTTGGTTTTTAAGTAATAAGGTATATGTTTTGTTTATCTGTCTAATATACACATAAGCCCTGTCTAAAGCTTTAAGGAACATTGCAACTATAGGTTGTATATCAAAGGTCATTTGGTAAGCTAAATGTTGTTGTTCGTGTTTTAAGTTAAAGGGTATATATCTAATAAATCTATTCTGTAGCCAACATCCTAGATCTCTCGCCATTTACTGTTTATTGCCAGAAAGTCCTAACAGTTTAACCTTCGGTTGATCAGTTGGTATTTGCTTTTTGTTTTTCAGGTTGATTGATTTATAGAAAATTTACCTGACTGGTTTTGTTCTTTTCCCCCCAGGAATACTTCAAATTATGCCCAGAAAACTTTCGAGATGAGGATGTTTTTGTTTGTGAATCACGGTATTCTGCCAAAACCAAATCTTTTAAGAAAATTAAACTGTGGACCATGCCCATCAGCTCAGTTAGGTTTGTTCCTCGGGACGTGCCCCTCCCCGTAGTCCGAGTGGCATCTGTATTTGCAAATGCAGATAAAGGTGATGATGAGAAGAATACAGACAACTCAGAGGACAGTCGAGCTGAAGACAGTTTTAACTTGGAAAAGGTATGTAGATAGTAACCACACAGAAAACATTTTACACCTGAAAATATCTGTTCCAGAAAATAAATGAATAAAGTATTCAAACTCAGAAAAATATCAGCAATATAAAACTTTAGCAAGACAGAAGCTAGAAGGCAAGGAAAAATAATAATAATAATACTTAGAAGACAGAACAGTAGAATTTAAAAGTAAATCCAAGATGAGCCGGGGATTTAGCTCAGTGGTTCTGGCGCCTGCCTTATAAGGTCAAGGTCCCGAGTTTGATCCCCAGTACCAAAAAAAAAGGTAAATCCAAGAACTGGGGATGTAGGTCAGTGGTAGAGCATTTGCCTAGTGTGCTCAAGACCTGGTTAGGTTTCCAGCACAGCAGAAATAAAAGTGAATCCAAGAGCTAATTCTTTGACAAGTCTGAGATGAGCTACAGCTATCTTAATAATAAAAGGGAGAAAAGGTAGCACAGTTAAGCTTAGATACACAAAAGTGGAAGAAATTCAAAGACTACATATTTCTGCTAATTTTAAAACCTAAATAAAATGAATAATTTTCTGGGATATTACAAATTACCAAAATGGAATCAAGAAGAGATACAACACATAAGTGGACAACATAAAAATTTTTTTAAAGTGTCAAAGAACTAGTATCAAAGAATACAGTATTACGCATCTATAGGTAAATTCTTTTAACTCTCTGAGGAACCTATAAATAAACTTTCAGAGCATAGAGGACAAAGAAAATTTTCCAGTTCACTTTATAAAACCAGATACAACCTGGCAAAATAAAAGAGCTTGGGGTCTTGAATATTGATGTGAAAATTACTTGAGTAGAAAGATACATTTATAAGCAAAATAAAAATATTTCTGTTAAATGACCAAAGAAAGAAGAGTTCATTCTAGGAATGCAAAGATTGTTCAAGTCAGGAACATCTTTACATTTCACTATATTAATAGTTCTGTGTATTTAAGCATAGCATACATTATATCATTTAAGCTTTCTGAAACGCTGTCTCATGGCTACGCTATCATCTTCATCTTTTTTTTTTTTTTTTTCTTTTTGAGACAGAGTCTCACTATGTAGTTCAGACTGAACTTGAATTCATGTTGTAACCAGGCTTGCCTTGAACTTTTGGCACTCCTCCTGCCTCAGCCTCTCCAGTGCTGGGATTGAAGGCATGTGCCTCTGTGCCCGGTTCCTCCTCATTTTATAGATGAGAAAACTAAGGCACAAACTGTTAAATAACTTGCCTAATGAATGTCACATCAGCTAGTAGATGACAAACCCAGAAATTTATTCAAAAACAGAGTATGGGGCTGGGGATTTAACTGAGTGGTTTCGTCGCCTGCTGTGGAAATGCAAGGACCCAAGTTTGATCCCTGGTACAAAAACAAAAAAACAGAGTATGTGTTTATGTCACAAAGGCTATATGTTTTCCATATTGGAATAAATTAAAATAGTAAAAATGTAAAATCTATCAGTTGTTAATGTTATGAAATGAGGGTATGGGGAAGGTGAGAGGAAGCGCTGAGTGCCTACCTCTCTTCTGCCCACTCCCTTTCTTGTCTGTAAATTGAGTAGGCACATTCCCTAGGGATGAGTGAGAAGAGACTGGAGTGCCTCTGTTGGGGGAGTTGGAAGAGTAGGGAAGCTTCTGACTGGACCCACCTTCCTCCCACTCTGCTTGGGCAGTGTGGGTTCCTGCAGCTTCTGCACAGCTCACATCCCACCTTGTACTACATAGTGAGAGGTTATTTTATGAAAAATATCTAGAAATTTTAAATTAATATAATAATTTGATAAGGCAGTTGGATTTTAGTATATTTGCTGCTGAAGCAAGCACAAGACAGTTTGATCTGATTTTTTGTTTTGTGTTTTGAGACAGGGTCTCGCTATGTAGTTCAGGTTAGCCTTGAAATGTGCTTTCCTTCTCTTTCTGCTCCTTGATAGTTAGCTACCTTTTTTCAACCATTTCCTTTTACCACAGGAAAAAGAAGATGTCCCTGTGGAAATGTCCAATGGTGAGCCAGGTTGTCACTACTTTGAGCAGCTCCATTACAATGACATGTGGTTAAAGGTTGGAGACTGTGTCTTCATCAAGTCCCATGGTCTGGTGCGCCCTCGTGTTGGCAGGTGGGTTGTCATTGAAGTAGGGAAGATAAGGTTGGGTCTGAGATTTGGGGCCAGTAGACATTCATCTGTCTTAGGATGAAGACAAAAGTCCCTCTTCTGGCAAATTCTCCAACATCCTCTCATATCACACTTCCCCTGCTTTCCTTTCTAAGCAGTTTTTAAAATTCATCCATTTGCTGGGCTTGGTGGCACAGGCCTGTAATCCTAGCACTTGGGAGGCTGAGGCACAAGGATCGCTTGAGTTCGAGGGCAGGTTGGGCCATATAGTGAGATCAAGGCCAGCCTGAACTACATAGCAAGACCTTGTTTGAAAAACAAAAATAAACAAATTTGTCCATTGGCTCCTGGTTTTTTTCTTTTACCATTGACAGAATTCTCAGCTCTGAAATCTTCCTGTTTTGTATTATAAACTCCTTAGCTTAAATTTGAAATACCACTTCCTAGAAGAAACCTTTCCTTCCCCGCAGGCTGGGCTAGGTTTCCCTATTACAGACTCCCAGAAAACCATGCATTTCCTTCTCCTTAGAATACATATCATATGTTGATATTTATTATATTGTCCATACCTGACATTTCCAAATGCCGTGAAAGTAGGAGCTCTTTTTGCTGAACTTTGTATACCCTGCTCAAATTATAGTGCATGAAATATAGTAGAGGCTCATATATTTGATGAACAAATAAATTGATGAAAGGATAGAAGTATGGTTGGTTGACAAAAACAGCGATAAAGAGCTGGATATGGTGGCACACTCGTGTAATCCCAGGACTCTGGATGACTGAGGCAGGAGGATTGTAAGTTCAAACTCAGCGTGGGCAACTTAGCAACTTAATGAGACCCTGTCTCAAAATAAAAACTTAGAAAATGACTAAGGATGTAGCTCAGTGCAAAGGCCCAGGGTTCATTCCCCAGTATGGGGGTGGGCAGCAGTAAAAGACTCAGGTACTGGATTGGGCAGTAAAGGATAGCAATTGAGAGCAGCATTTGGGGGCTGATGGTGCAGCTCAGTATAGAGCACTTTCCTAGCAAATAAGAGGCTCTAAATATTACTGCCAGCATGTGTAAAAAACAAACACACAATAAAATAACAGTAGTTGGTTCCAGGAGATCTTGATTAAGTCCCAGCTCTGCTAGTATCCTTAGGCAAATGATTTACCTCTCTGGGTTTCTTTTCTCCCATCAGATTTGTTCTTCAGTAACCATTTATTCTGCTATTTGCTAGGCTCTGAGGATATGTTAACAAATAAAATGGACAAATATTCTTAATACTATGGAGCTTTCTTCTAGTGGAAAGACAAACATTGAATAAGTAAAGTTGCAGTCAGTTAGATCATGATACATGCTGTTGAAAAAATACAGTAGGATAAAGGGCCTCGTAGGAGCAAGTAGGATGATTTATAGTCCTCATTAAGCTAACCTAACACTTAAACAGAGAGTAAGAATTGTGAATATCCATGGAGAAAGTATTCCAGGCAGAGTGTATAGCCAGTATGAAGGCCTGGAAAAGAAGTGTGTCAGGCCTGTTCAGACCAGCAGTTTATTAGTAGCAGAGCTATGTGTGAGTTAGGTCAGAGATGAAGGCAAGGGATAATGTGCAGATCATGTAGGACCTCAGAAAACATTGTAGGAACTTAGGCCTTTATGAAGTTAAATAGAGTGTCACTGTGTTGTTTCAAGTACAAAAGTGACATTTGACTTAGGTGTTAATAGAATTGCTCTGCCTACTGGTTGTTGAGAATAGACTGTAAAAGGTCATAGGTAGAAGGAAGGAGATCTACTAAAAAGTTATTATAATAATCGAGGCAAGAGTGATGGTAGCTCAGACTAGGGTGATTGCAAAGGGTACCACTTTGAAGATTATGTTCATAGTCCTAATAAATGGGTTGTGAGGTCTAAGAGAGGTCAGTGAAGAATGACTCCTGTTTGTGGGCCAGGGGAATTGAAAGATTTGTTATGCTTAGTTATGTTTTCATCTTGGGCATCTCAGGAAGGAAATTGGGAGTCAGAAATGTTACATACTTTGGTACCATGATAAATTTTTTTTCCCTCAGATGAGTACTCTTTTTTCCAAGTATCTTCTCCTGTGCTTGAGAGGGAGGGAACAAATGAAATTATCTCATTATCAAAACAGCCAATGAAACACCTCTAAATGGTATATATTATTATGGTTAACAGAATTTTTATTAGATTAGTCCTTCAAGAATTAAATTATTATAATATGATTTCTCCATTGTTCCCCCAAGAATTGAAAAAGTATGGGTCCGAGATGGAGCTGCGTATTTTTATGGCCCCATCTTCATTCATCCAGAAGAGACGGAGCATGAGCCCACAAAAATGTTCTACAAAAAAGAAGTGTTTCTGAGTAATCTGGAGGAAACCTGTCCTATGACATGTATTTTGGGTAGGTGTTTATGCTTTCTCATTTAATCACAGTCATTCCATAAAAACTGATTGAATATTACCATGCTAGGATCATTCTAGATGTTAGGTATACAGTAGTGAACAAATCAGACTCTGCTCTCATAAAAACTTACATCGGGGCAAAGATTGGGGAGCTGGTAAGTAAATTTAAAAACAAAAGTATAGAACATCAGGTGGTGATTAGGGTTATAAACAAAAATAAAGCTAAGTAAGAAGATTGAGGGTAGTGTTGATTCGAAGTCCTGTGGTCAACAAAAGCCCTTGTTGATATGTGGCATGTGAGTAGAGCCCTGAAGTATGCCAGAAAACCATTTGACTATCTAAAGTTGTACTCTCTTTTAGGCACAGCAAAAGCCTTTAAGTAGAATATCTCAGTCATGTTCAAGACATAATAAAAAAGTTAGGTAGCTGAAGCAGGGCAATAGGTGTGGTAGGGAACAAAAACCCTCTGGAGTGGCAGGGCACCCAGTCGTGGTAGGCCTTGTAGATGGTATAGCAGTTGGGTCTGGAGTGAACAGGAAGTCTGAAAGAGGTTTGAGTAGAGTGGTGGTGTGAGCTAACACAAAGGGAGGACTCGTTGTCGCTGCTATGTGGAAAGTATGTTGTAAGAAAAAGGTCGAAAATGGAGAAAACAGTTGAAAGACCCACAGTCTTTGTTGGAGTCTTAACCCTGAAGTTATTATTGTCCCTGCTCCAGACTCAAGTTTTGGTTTCTTTTCTATCATCCTGCTGAGTGTTCACAGTGACATTTTGTTTCTGGGATCTAGGTGTATATATCATGTATACCAGCATTGTTTTCAGCTATTATATTTCTTCTGGCCCAGAGTTATCTTTAGAGCTTCCTTATCCCAGCTATTCTTTACATCTTTTGGAATAGTTTCCTAAATAATTACTGGTCACAGGCTTTACAGTGATGGCTCATGGTTCTTTGGGAATTTTTTTCTTTTTTTGCTTTTGTTTTTGCTTTTGTTTTGTTTTGTTTGTTTTGATGCTGTGATTGAACCCAAGGTCTCATGCATGGTAAGCATACAGTCTTACTACTAAGCTACACCTCCAGCCCCTGTTGCTCATGATTGTAAAGAAGTCACCATGCTCACAACCAAAAGAAAACTTGTAGATTAAAAAGTATCTGAGAAAAAAAAAAAAAGTATCTTAGAGTTAGACTTTTATTGCTGTTATAGGTTGTTTTTGGTGCTTTCAAGTTTTTCAAAATTAAATATGGTAAAAATGTTTTAACTATTCAATATATTTTTCCTTTTCCAGTCTGGGGAAAAGGAACAAAGACTGGTGAAGTCATTAAGTTCTTCTTAACTTTCTGTAGTACCCTGTAACCCCAGCTATTTAGCTAAGAGGCTAAGGCAAGAGGATCACAAGGTTGAAGCCAGCCTTCACAGCTGAGTGAGACCCTGTCTCAAAATAAAAAGGACCCAAAAAATAATTAATTAATTAAAATAAAATAAAAAGGACCAGAGGGACCGAGGATTTAGCTCAGTGGTGCCACCGCCTGCCCCACAAGTGCAAGGTCCTGAGTTCGATCCCCAGTACCAAAAAAAAAGGACCAGAGATTTAGCTCAGTGTGAAAGCCCTGGGTTTGATCCCCAGTACAACAACAACAAAAAAGTCTTCCTTTCAGATTGTGTTCCAGACTACAGCAGTTCTGCAGGGCCTCATTTCCTAAAGTAAATTCATCCCACAGAGCCAAAAGGAATGTAATGAAGGTGAGACTGAAGTCTCCTTTGATTAGGGCAACCATATCATTTGCTTTTTAGTTTGAGTTTGATTGGGGTTTGGCACAGTGCTGAGGATTGAACTCAGGGCCTCACACCACATGCTAGGAAAGTGTTCTATATTGAGCTATATTCCTAATCCTAAATTATTTGCTTAGTGGTTTCCTTGGAGATTGCAATTAATACCTTAAATTTGTGACCTTTTTTTTTTTTTGGTACTGGGGATCGGACTCGGGTCCTTGCGCTTGTGCAGCAGGCAGCGAAACCACTGAGCTAAATCCCCGGCCTCTGTGACCATTTATTTTGAATTAGTTCTAATGTAACCAGTAATATCGTCTTAGCTTCAGTAGTAACTAAAACTACTGTATATGTAAGTCCAACCCCCTTTGTGATGTTTTTGCCACATTTATGTGCCCATCGACAAAGATTTATAATTAAAAAGAGAAGTTTAATTTAGAGTATAATAATACTGGGGTTTTTTTCCTCCATACAAGAGATTGAACCCAAGACCTTTGCACTGAGCTACATCCCCAGCCCTTCTTATTTTTGATTTTGATGCAAGGTCTCACTGAGTTGTCCAGACTGAACTCAAACTTGCATTATCTCTGCTTTAGCCTGTTGGAATGCCTAATAGCTAGATCTTGGAAACAGATGAATAAATAAGGAAAATGTGGTATTTATACACAGTGGAGTACTGTGTTGTCATAAAAAAGATAAGCTTGAGACATTTATGGGTAAATGGATGCAACTTGAGAACATAATGTTAAATAAGTCAGACACACAAGCTTAAATATCACATGGTTTCTCTTATATGAAAGAGAGACAGACAGACCACCAAAAAATGTATACACGCTTCAGGAAAATGTATACACACTTCAGAAAAAGAAAAACTTGTACGAATATTTTAATACTAAATTTATTGCAACAGCGCGAGTTTAATACAAGTTACCTTTGACCTGTACAATTGCATGAGGTGCTCAAAGTGGTGGCCATTAGCTTCCAGACATTTATTAGTACGGCAGACTACTGCTTGGGTAACCTTGGGTATTGAGATTGCTGCACATGCATTTTCATTTTCTTCTCTAAGAACCAGTAATGTAGCGCATTTTCTGCGATACATGACATCCTCTAGGGTTCCCCATACAAGGGTAACGCCATCTGTTGAAAAAACACTAGTTTTCTTTTCCTGAATGTGTATACATTTTTGGACGGACTCTTTGTACACACAAATAAAGAGCAAAATAAAAGAGAGATAAATAGGAAGTAGGGAGAAGTTCAAATATTTCCCCAAATTACATATTGCATTGTTTTAAAAGTATTTTAATATATATGTTAATTTCATTTGTACTGAGAATTTATCTTAGTTCGTTGAAAAAAGATTTGTGTTATTATTTGTTTCTTTTTTTATAAGAATCTTTTTGGTTTATGTTTTGTACCCTGAGTAACTACTTTGAAAAAAAATGATGCACAGTGTAATAACTATTGTTAATCTTATTAATTATGAAACTTTGTTTTATTTTTTCATAAAATAAATAGCCACCCAGCATTTCCCTAAGTTTAGAGCTTTTATGGGAATAACCATGGGACAAGGGGCATCCTTGGAGCTTTTCTCCATTTATTCATAGATTGATTGTTTTCATTAATCTGATCCTATTGTATTTTCCAGCATTTCCTTAAATTTTTATGATTTGCTACTATTTGTCCTTTTGTATTCCAAACTCTTGTTGTCAAATGTGATTTAACTTAATTCGTTTTTCTTGCTTCAATAGAAGTTTGGGGATATTTGCAGTAGATGTAAATGCCTAGCCCACCATTTTGAGAAATATTTCAAAAACAGTATCTTAGTATTATTTCCCATCTCTAAAAAGCATTCCATTTCCATAATTCCTTGTATAACTAACAGGTTAGTTATTAGCCAGATTACTAAATTCACACATTTTATGTTAGATTATTTTTATAATATCTGATAATCTTGTTTATGATGAAATGAGAACTATTTTTCATTATTAATACTAACAACTAAATTTCTATCCCCCCCCCCCGTACCGGGGATTGAAGTCGGGTCCTTGCGCTTGCGCAGCAGGTGGTGAAACCACTGAGCTAAATCCCCGCCCTCTCTTTTTTTTTTTATTGAGACAGGGTCTTGCTATATAGTTCAGGCTGGTCTTGAACTCCCTATGTAGCCCAAGCTGCTGGCCTTGAACTTACAGCAGTGCTCCTACCTCAGCCTCCCAAGCTCTAGGATTACAGGTGTAAACCACCACACCCAGCTTTCTTTCCCTTTTGTGCTATTCTTTATTGTAGCCTAAGGTTATCAAAGCTCAATATCTTTAAGAATTCTCTTAATTGAAATTTTTGAACATTTATTGTTTAATAATTTGCTCATGTTGGCTTTGAAAAAATAAGTCCTTGCTATCCTTTGATTTTTCATCCCCAAAAAGGCTTGTGTCAGAAGTTTAATGAGCAATGCAGTGGTACTGAGAAGTGATGGAACTTTTAAGAGGTGATTAAATTATTAAGAGATATTGATGCAACTCTAGGGGGAAAAAAATGAAGTCTTTGTTTAGTAAATTTTTCCAGGAATAATTTCTGGTTTTTTCTTTCTTAACAGTGGGTCATATTTTCTTATTTCTTTGCATGCCATTTAATTTTCTGTTGTTGTTGAAAACCATACGTTTTGAATATTATACTGGGATAACTCTAGAAATCAAATTGTCCCCTTCTCAAGCTTTGTTCTTATTGCTTGCTATGGGTTATAGTTTTTGTTTAATAACTTTACTAAGCCCTTTTTAAAAAATTGATATCTTTATTGTGAGAGGTCACTGAAGTTTCTTTTCTGTTAGCTTGGTGGTCAGCTAGTGATGTGACAGAGGTTATTTTAAATGCCTAGAACCAAAATTCCCAGTTCTTGCATCTAGATTCCTTCTGTACGTTGTTGTATAGCTTAGCCATGCAGTTTACAACTCTGCCTTTATTTCCTGCTTGCACTAAGCTTGAAGATTAGCCAAAGATGAAACCTTAGCAACTTCCTAGGTCTTTTCTGAGCATGCACCTTATTACTGGCATGTACATAGACTTCTGGGTCCCATGAATATGTAAAAGCTTTTCAGTTTTTATTCCCAGGTGGTAGGAGCGAGGTGTTCACTTAGCCTGCAGCAGGTGGCAGAGGTGGTGGTGCTGTAGTGATGGAACATGTGGGCTGCCTGGCCCCACCCACCTTCCTGGTGACCCTGCAGAGGCAGCACAATGTTTG